AAGTGTCAATTCCACGTAAGGTGGACACTAGGAGATCACACCTGGGAACCATACGAGCACTGTAAGGAGCTCGTAGCATTAGACGAGTACTGTCGTCTAATGGGAGTATCGTCGTGGCGTGCGTTGCCACGAAAAACTTAGGCAGTATAGTGCCTAAGCACCAGAGCTCAGCAAGGCTCTGGCAAAACGCGCGCGTGACCGCGAAGAGGTCAAGCGCCGAGACGCGTCGCGCGAGATTTCAGCCACCGACGTGATTGAAACTCCGCTGGCGCTTAAATACGCGGAGACCTCGCAGGGTCATAACCGACTCTGCCAAGTCACCACCACCACCACCGACACACGCAACCTCAAGCATGAACGGCGGCAGCAACAGCAACAGCAGCAACGCGCCCATGGACACGGACGCGCAGGGGTCGCAACAAGCGGCTCCTGTGGCGTCAGGATCTCAATTCCCGACGGTCGCGCCCCCACAAGCGTCGACCAGCTACGCCCCGCCCGGCGTAGCCCAGCAACAGTACCCGGTGGCGTACCCGCAGGTGTTGCCCTCAACAGGGTACGCTTTCGGGCTGCCCCAGCAGCAGCAGCAACAGCAGATGGCGCCGCAGATGCCGGGCATGCCACACATGGGCATGCAGTATGGACCTCCGGCGGGGATCCCCCTCATGTCATTCTCAACAATGACATGGGCCCCCGTGGCCGACCAGCAGACACTGGTCGCGCATGGGAGCAACTGCCCGTTGTGCGCGGAGTTCCTCCGCCACTACGCAGCAGGGGCTTCCGAGCAGTCATTCCGGGACGCGCAGACGCGCGTCCAGACCGAGCTACAAGGCCGGTTCTGGGCGCATTTCGAGCGACACACTCGCTCGGAGGGGGGAAGGGACCGCGAACGCATCGCGGAACTCGAAACCCGTCTGCAGACGTTGCAATCGGAGTACGACTCGGAGCAGGAGCGCTTGCGTCGCTACCGAGAAGAGCGCGACGAGGTCCGTATCATCCGAGACAGACTGGAGCAGGAGCGCAATGAGGCTCGCCGACAGCTCGAAGAGGAGCAACGGCGAAGGCAGGCTCAGTCGACGACAACAACGTCGTCGACAAGGCTCACCATGCCTCCCAACCAGAGCGCGCCGCACCGTCGCCGGGATCCGAGGGAGGAAAGCCCTCGGAGGCGTAACATGGACCCGCTCCCCATTGCGGGCTCGAGCAGCGCGGGCACAATGAGCTCGGCGTCATTCTCGACGTCGTACTCTGCGCAGCCGAGCATGGCGGGGCCCTCAACGTCGTTCGCGGCACCGTACCCCGCTCAGCTAAGCGTAGCTGGGCCCTCCACGTCGTTCGCGACGCCATACTCCGCCCAGCCAAACACGGCTGGGCCCTCTGGGTCATACCAGGCCATGGCGTCCAGGTCGCCCGTCGAGCACCCCGTAGTCGACTTCGAGAACGCCTCGAGCGACGAAGAGGTCGACGAGCACCGGATACGGCGGCTGGCGGAACGTCGGAGGTACCGCGAAGCGCGTCGCAACACCGGCGCGCAGGCTGCGCCCGGACAAGGCGCGCCCTTCTCGATGAGCTCCTCCACGGCTCAGTCAACATGCGTGGTGCCAGGATGGCCCCACCACCTCATGGCCCTCCCTACGGATAGCGACCCACGGCTGACGGGGCACTACTACAACTACGTGCCGTTGAGTGGCAACGATGCTAGTCGCCTTATCAACGACGCGCAGACCGACACGGGCGAGATCGCGCACCGCGTCCGCGACCTCATAGGCCAGGTCAATCGAAGGCCTGAGCTAACGGGAGTGCGCGGCCTGCAAGTGTTGCAGTCGCAGTGGCGCCGCCCAGAAGGGCCGCGTGGAGCTTCGCCTCGGGGAGACACACCCCCGGGCTACGAACACATGTCGACGTCGCATCTTCCCCGGCCCACGCGCACGGGACCGGACTGGAAGGAGATCAAGCGGCAGAAACGAGCTGCGCGCACCGAGCCCGCGTACAACCAGCCGACGCTCGACGACAGCGTCGGCGACTGGCAGAACTGGATGTCTGCGGGCAGGGGCCGCATTCCTGTGTGGATGGAACGCGAGTTCGGCGGCAGGAGGCCGACCGAGTTCAGCGTGGCCTTCCACCTGCTCTCGCGGCAGCTCATTCCGCGAGACACTCCGACCGCCGAACGCGGTCGTTGGATCAGCATGACCAGCTGGTTGTTCTCGGTGCCTGGACTTTACCAGCACCTGATCAACGCTGGCCAATACCCGGTGGCTGGTCAGTTCCGCCCGGCGCCGTATCCCAACGACGTCGGCTTCGCGACGCTCTTTCAGATGGCGCGCTGGTACGCCTCGCGCGGCGTCACCGTGCTGATGGCGGACCGGTACATGCTGCTCGCGCGGCGCAACCGCAACGAGCGTGGAGGCCGCGAGGTAACCGACAACTCGCCCT